ATATATCTTATTAACCAAGCGCGAGGGCCGTACTGGGAGAATATCGGCCCGAGGTCTTGACAGTACGGACCGAGCGCAGCGAGGTCCGTACAAAAAAGACCGAGGGCCGATATTCTTCCAGTACGGTCCCGAGCAAGCTTGGTTAATAAGAGATTTATTATACGACTGAAGTTCAAAGGGACACAAGTGCGGTATCATTCGGGACCATTCGGGACAGTGCCCGGTCCAATACTGAGAGAATATTGACCGGCAATAGAGCATTTTGATTGGTGGATTATAGTTATTGGCCCTCTGACTGCCCGAGTCGTGTAATAATATATGCATACTGATGTTATTTAGGGTGCAAAGAATGAAATGAAATTCAAAATTTTGTATACAGTGTTGATTGCCTGGGGACTAAATGTGATGTTCTGTTCTTCAACTACTTTGCAAATTTGCAATGTTTTTACTCAGGGTATTGAAAGACTTTTCAAGAAATTTATTATTAATAATAGCTCATGCATTCCTTACCAGGTGGAACAATTCTTTCTATCCTGTTCACAATACGATATACTGCTTAATATTTACAGTTGGTTCCCACATGTCAGTAGTTGATATACCATCACACCATTGAAAGCATGTTTCACTCTTAGACTAGTTTTTAACTGGAGTTGTAATTATCAATATTATCTTCAGTTGTGACAAGTAGAGATAAAATACCCACAATTTTTGTTGTTATTCTCCAACCTTATCAATATGTGTTTACACTGTTTGTAGTATGAATTATAAATTCACAGTGAAACATGTGGCTTTTTCAATTTGTAAGACATTTAATAAGTCCTTCAAATATTTTTGGTGATTGAAAGGTGTGTTTCTATACAATTCTTGTGAATGGACCAGATGCATTCTTTTGAAGATTATTTAGAGCTTATTCTGCCTAACTGTGGAGGCAGCAGATAGAGATTTTGTGCCTCTGTTAACTTTTGAAATCAAAGCACCAAAAAAAAACCAAAGTTTGGCATTATCATTTGCAAGAATGATACAATTAATCCTTTTTTGTGGGTTGTTGTGGTTTTTTTTTTTTTTTTGAAGTCTGGGTCATCCGATCCCTCAGATTCAGGATATGGACAGTCTGACAGGGTTGAAGGTAGTTGTGGTTTTTTTTTTTTTTTTGCCTCAAGTCTCTGAAGACAAGAGTCTTTATTTTGACTGATGTGAGATTTTGCTGTGTTGCTGTACATAATATTATTTTTCTGTTTCAACATATGTCCACATGGCCATTCATAGTTACATTCAATTTTGTGGTGTATTCCAAATTTATCATGACCATTTTGCATCAGTGTTTTCTTTTGAGTAAAACTTTTTATTTTTAACATTCTTGACCTAAATATTTTGATTTTGTTTTCTCTAGCTGATACAGTCACAGTATTACTTAACAAACATTACAAAATGATGATATTTACTTTCAACATGCCATTTATCCAAGGTGTGTTTTTTTTTTTGTCTATTTTCGGATCAATATGTGTGAATTTTTTATGAGGATGTGAACCTTGTCGAATATTGATTGAATCATTAATAAATATTAATGTCACTTTGAATAAAGAAAAATTGAAGTGCACATGAGAATATAATCAAGACAAGGATTGGAGTTTCAAGATTAGTATTTTAAGACACAAAAAAAGATGAGTTGTGATAATTGTTCCACCTTTAAATTCTGGGAATGGGACAGGAACAAGCTTTTATACTGTATATTGTTAAAAATAATGTCAGTTGTCTTCCACATTTTTAATCATTTTGTTGTTTAATATGTGGGTTTTGTCTCAAATTATTTATGAAATTGTTACATTAATTGTGATTTTTTTTTTTAAATCAGTAAGATCAACAAATTGTCTCCTTTGATTGCAGGTAATGCATTTGGTCTCAAGTCATTTTGCACTGATGCCACATTTGATTTCTTTTTCTTATTGTGCAAAAACTGCATTTTTAAAAAAACTAGCTCATCAAACTAGAAAATTGCAATCCAGGGAATGTACAATATTCGAGCAAACATTACTATGTTAATTCAAATGTCACCACAGTTTTATGGAAATTTCTTTAAGCCATTATTGACATTTAATAAAATGGAAGTGCAAAGTTTGCTGCAGTTTGATTGGCTTGTTATTTTCTTTTTAAAAACATGGTGACTTTTAAACAAATATTGCATGATTTGTCAACTCTATTTCTTATTCATTTAATGAAAATCTCCATATTACAGAGTGTGTGTGTCAAGTTGTCTGAAAAATATTTATCCTCCTGTACAATTATTTAATATGCATCAGCTTGAATGTGAATCACATATTGTTTTGACCAGATGGACAAAGTGTCTAGTGTGTGTTTTTTTTTTATTTTCACCAAAGCTGATCCTGACCAGTAATTAAAGAGCTCAAGGTTAAAAATATCTCTTTAGTGAGGGCCATTGGAAAATGAATCTTAGTGTCACATGGCATTGAAAAATTGTCTAAATCACTGAGAGAGGAGTTCAGCGACTATTGGGTCCTCCATTTTCTGATAAGAAACAATGTCATCGCGACTGGTGGGTTAAATTTAAGAAATCAATCATTTTTTGTTTGGCTTTGTATTTTCTTTACCCTCTTCTGTCCTTTTTTGTTGTTGTGTTTTTGATAAGCACTCATTAACCCTTCAGTATTCTCTTCCCTCCATGTATCAGAATTGTTTTTGAAAGACACACCATTCAGAATTGCCTTGAAGATTCTGTTTAAAATTAGTTTTCATATTATTTTGTTGGTAAACAGTTTTTGTATTAATAGTGATTGCTAAGCATCTGAGTTTGTATCTCAGCTATATTTTGAATCAATGAAGTAGGATTTTTCGAACATTTTAATTTATACTCTGACTATCGGTTAATACAATTTTTGCTGCTTCTTGCTGCTTCCTGTATATTTCTAGAAATTAGAGATTGGATCTCTTAGAGATGTTTTGGGTAAAAGTCATTTTTTAACTTCTCAATGGTTTTTGAGTCAGGAGATTTTTTTTTCAAACATTTCTAGAATTTGAAATTGGTAAAATTTCAAAATGAGAATAAAATTAAGATAAAAAATGAAATACCTGATTAGCAAAGATTCTAATTCTGACTTGATTAAGGAGAAAAATTTAAAGCAGAAAATTACATGCTTTGTTAAATTGAACAATCTAACACGGTGAAATCTGTAAAATATTTTGAAAATGAAGAAATAAGTTAATTTTTACTAGTTTGCATTCGATGACCTTTGGAATCTCAAATCAAATGGGAAAAAGGAATAATTTTCTGTTAATATTATTTTTTGATCTGTAGAATGATTTTATTTATAGGTCAGTTGATGGCTTTCAGTAGGTTAAGGTAGTTTTGATAAATTTTGGAAAGTAAATTCGGGTGTAAAAATTTGTGAAATTGGATGTTACAATATTATTCTTGTTTTAGTAATATCCAATGCCTTCATGTTTATCTTACAAGTATCTTATGTTGTGTGCACTTTACAGATAAGTGCTTGACTGGAGGCCACAGTTTTATAGAGTCATGGTACAATGTTGGTTGGCTCTATTTTCCAAATCTATCCTGGTCCTTAGGTTATCTACCAGGGAGTTTCCAAAATCCTCTTTTGTGGTAAAATACATCCATGAAACACGTCATTGCGCAGTACTTTTTATCTTTGTTAGGATTATCAAACCATGACTAATTGAATCAACAGAGAAGCTGTTTATTTTTTCAAGCATGGGACTTATAAAACAGTCTGGATTCCCCATGATAATTCAAACCTCAAACTTTCCTATTTGGTAATCAGGTGCCCAAAATTCCACCGAGCTACCTACACTGTATTATAAGGATTTCGTGGTACAAAGTCGTAAGGTATAAAGCTTAATTATTGTGCCTGTCTTAGATCCCCAACAGGTGAATTCCATCTCTAATTTTTCCTCCTTAGCCATAAGCTTTAATTTGCGATTCTCCTCCATCCACCTCATCCATGCCTTCAAGGCCATTTCTGCACTCATTCTTTTTTGCATACTGTAATACTAAAATGAAATGCAGTAGCAAAATATTTTTTTCCTATTTGCTAGACAAAAGCAGAAGAGAGGAAGCTTCTGTCTCATAGGATGGAAAGTGTCGATTCTGATCAGGATGAGACACCTAAAGAAAATCAACAGCTAAACAAGGAGAACAAAGCCAAGGATAAAACAGAAAGGTTAGAAATGATAATCATAAATTGCATTTTAAGATTATTTGCAGGTAAAATAGTACATTGAAACTGAAACTTTTTGCAAAAAAAAAAAATTTAGGTGAAACTGACTTGTTATTTTTCCTATAAAAAAAAAAGGAAGAGTTGAAAATAGACGCAGGCATTGATATTGTTATTTTATTTTTGTGTATTCCTTTTCATAGAAAATCAGGATTGTTTGCATCATTGAGTGCCTCTTTGAGTGCGGCAAGATCTGGGATTCAGGGATTTTTGGAAAGGTGGGTGATTTTTAATAATTTTTCTGAGCTAATGTGGACCAGAATCTTGGGCAAATTGTGTTGAAAAATTTATGAAAACATCCAATTTTGACATAAGGCCAACAGTGCATGGGTAAAATCTGTCTTGGACCCTCTATTCCACCTCTCAATGTTAGGTATTACTGACAGAAGCAAAAATTTTTTATAAGGTAAAATTGTTTTAATATTCAACACTGCAAAGTGAATTCATCACCAAATGATACTTTGATCTGATAATATTTAGATCTATATGTTTCATATGTTTGTTGTTGTTTAATATTTAGATCCTCACCAAAGGAACAAAGGCATGCAACCAATGCTGTACTTACAGGAGACAGTGATGGTGAAGATGAAACAGATAAGTTGACACAGAAACCAAATCCTGATGTGGATGGCCTTGATAATCACGATGAATTTACAAGGTGATTGGTTGAACATATTTGACTGTGTGTACAGGTTGACCTCAGATCAGTGATTCTAATTCTCAAGAATACCACTCACAACACTTACTATCTCTTTAAAAATTGTATCTCTCTAAAAGAGGACTAGCACAGCACACGAAGGTTTCATACTTTTTTGCTTGTAATTTTTTTTGGGGGGGGGTGGGCCTAGCTTGCGTTCTCTTGGGAAAATTTGAGGGAAAACCTTTTCATTCCCTGTGGATTGACAAGGAGAGGATTTCTCCCAACAGTGTTTGTATATATTGAGAAAAACAAAGGTGATAAGAAAAAATATATATAATATCATGTAGGGGCTATTGTTTGATTCATACAATTCTCATGACCTAAGTTGTAGGAAGTATGTGACAGACATAATTATTAATAATAATTTTCCTTTATGAAAATAATTCCAGATTACTGAATTGGTGCCTTGTTAGTGAGAAACTGGTGAAATGATGAAATGCAAAACACTCTTAATGTCCATCTTGTTCCCTTTTGCAATTTTAGAGCAGAATCAACAAACAATTTCTATTAATAAAAACTTGTGATTTTTTTTCACACCACAAAAAAAGCGAGAGATAGGTTTCCTTTAAATGTTCTCTCTCAAAAGTCCATGTTAAGTCTAAACCAGAAAAAATCTGTCACTTGTTGATATCGTCATTTACATATGCAACCATGAAACCCTGAAGCTGTTTGTGTTAATTTTTGTAATTCCTATTTATCTTCTCAGACAAATGGAAGTAAAGGGAGGTTTAACTTACGAGAGTGCAGACAGAACAGTCCACCAACTGTCCCATGATGCTTTGCCTCCCCCGCTCTCTCTACAGTCACTTCAAGCTGAAAATCAAGCTGACAAATAGAATTTATAATAAATGATTATTAATTAAAATATTTACTATGTTACTGACAAAAGTTATTCAACTGTTACAGTCTGTACCTTTTTGTCTTGGTCATGCTATCACGTTTAAGGATGCTACATTTACTGTGAAACTCTGAACAGGATTATTATCAGGCATGATATATCTTATTGAACACAATAAGGATATTAAGTAGTTTGTTGTTTGCTTATATGTCCTGATCATCCACACAATCCGTCGCAAGTGAAGGCTCTACTGTTACAACAGGGTAGACAATTTTTGGGTGTCTTTCAATTGTTCATGGTTTTCTGAGTTTGACAGTTTTAACATAAAATTATTCCAAACCACAGCACTAACAATCCATTTAATTTCAAAAGTACCATCACTCGCTTTTAAGATCATTATTTTTGATTGTTATTATTACTGATTTGTGATAAAAGTCGGTCTGAAAGGTTATTAGAAATGATTTTAAATATTATTTTATCTGCACAAATCATTCCTAACAAAAATGGTTCAAATATAGTGAGAAAAGAAATGTTTCATATTTTCATTTGCACATTCTATTGTCTACCATTACTATTATTATTGATTTGTGATAAAAGTATGTCTGAAAGGTTATAAAAATGATTTATGATATATACACAAAGCATTCTAAAAACAAATGGCTATAATCTGTCTCAGTGTTGCCATAGAAGAGAAATGTTTCACTTTTTTATCTGTGCATTTTATTAGTTGTTTACCATTATCATGAATTCATGTAAGAGCACGAACAATTTATTGTTTCTAAGAAATATTATTGAAATATGAAAGGGAATGACTTGAATGTAATATATGTGATAGAATGATTCATATTTAAATGTCTGGTGCAGTGAATGATGTCATACTGCATGCGTAGCTGACTACAAGTAAGAATTTTCATAGTGGATTTTAATAAACAATTAGTTCCTCTGTTTTAAGTCTGTTTAAGGCAGTTAATAATTTGTTGGCATGACGAAATGCATTTACCTTTACCGGTATTCTGTCCTGAAGTCAAATAACCCTGGATGGTACTGAGGTGTGGAAAGGCTATTCTTCTCTGCTCTCCTATTTTTTCCCCATTGTCCAACACTTGCAGGCCAGCATAAAATCTGAGCCAGTCTTTGCAGACTCTGCTACTGACTTGTGGCTGATCTTGCCAACTTATTCAGCTTTAAATCAACTTATTCAGCATTAAATCCCAGTATCATAACTCTCTAGAGGGGAAATACTTTAGTGGCCTTATGTTACTATCAACAGAAATTATTTACCACAGACCATATATCTGAGGAGTATTTTCCAGAAGTTGCCAAAGTGTCTCAGTTGCAGGGTTATTCCTTGTGTTCATCGTTTAAAAACTTCTGACTTCTGATTAACTGAAATTCAGGTAACCTTTATGTAAGCCTATGTAGCTGGTGGCTATTTGAGGATCTTAACCCTCCCATGAGTGACCAAGACAGAATTTCTCCTTACAACATCAATACCATATCAAGCAGACAAGTGATAACAATAAAACAAATATATTAATTAGCAGATTATTAGTTGATCCAATAATGAATTCTCCAAACTAACATCAAAAGAATTGTGTGGCAGATAGTAGAGAGATCTAGAGCGTGAAAGGGATGAGCGTTTATGCCATGAAATCAGGCACTGAAGTGGCAAGGTGTTTGATATAGAAAAAACGTACACAGTTCTGTTATAGGTGGTTTTTCCCCTTTTGGATGTGCACACAATGTTACCACTAACACAAGCCAGCTTACTGATGACTGTTAAGCTCTTGTCATTCTTCACCTTCCAAATGTTAATGATTATGAGAGAATCATTTTCCATCTTGAGCAATGACATGGATTCATCAGTTTTTAAGTTATGATAAATATTTCTCATTTTCTCATCCTGGGTCCAAGAGAGTTGGAGGAATAGAGACCACAGAAACATGATTGCCTTTCCTCATGAAAACTTGCCATCCAACTCAGGGAGGTTTATCAACAGGTAACTGATGAATACTGGTACATTGAACACATTGCTGAACATCATCAACTTACAACCCCATTGACTGGGACTCAGTGCAATGCTTAACCTACAGCACTAACTGCTTTCAGCAAAATTAATGACTCTGGAAAGCTGATTTACTAACATAGACCAGCCCCACCTTAACAGGTGTCAACTTATACCAGCACCATACAAATGACTCATTCATGACATTACCATTACAAATGAACCAAACAGAACAACCTATCATTATTAACAGATCACAACAACCAATCACAACAGACTTACATCACTTGAGTCTTTCAGCCAATAACATCACAGCAAAAACTGGCCAATCAGTTCAAACAAACCTAACTAAAAAAGTTTGACTGACGACAGCTATTTACTTGACTCTGATGATGACTTCCACTAAGGTTGCCAAAATGTCAGTCACTAATACCAAGAACAGTCCTTCTCAGGTCTACGCTCACCCGGACCATCAGACCACAACATCACATTTTACCCCTAGGTTCAAACCATTTAAGGTATGAATATGATTCAAGCATGCTTATCACTTCTAATTTTTTTATCATGGGTACCCAGGACACAGGATACCCAGGTCTCTTCCGATCCAACCTCTGCCAATTTAATCCAAACTCGTTAATCCCTCTACCACCATCAACAATTAATCAATCTGTGAGGACAAACAATAAAACATTTAGCATTTTAATGTTATTCCAAACAGTATTAAAAGAGTAAAAAATCTAGTTTGAAATTGGTCTTATTGTGGTGTTATCAACACATTACTAGCAGCTCATTCACTGTGTCAGGCTTCTCGCTCTAAATCAGCAAGTTCCTTTTCGATCTCTTCCCTTCTCGAAAGCTTTTCTAGCTGTGTAGCTTCTGGATTTACCAACTCCCCTGAGTCAATTTTCTCTTGTAATTCTTCAATCTGTCGTAATTTCTTTCTGAGGTTCTTCACACGTTTTAATTTTAAATCATCTGGGTTGCTCGTGTATACTGTGCCTGCTGCAGTCACAGTACTAGAAACTGTAGCACTTTGAAGTTTCTCCGTAACTTCCTCGACTTCACATTGTTGATTTTCACTGCTCTCCTTTTTTTTATTCTTCCGTTTTTTCTGGTTTTTCGTGAGCTGTTTGTTTTCTTCCTCATGTGCACCAGGCGGCAATTTGGAAAAACTATTTGCCCATTGTTTGCCCTTACTTTCGTACTTTGCCACTTCATCTGGTGGGACATAACCTTCCTTCACTCTACGAGCTTTCCGCCATGTGCCATCAGGTCTTCTAGAAGCTGGAATCCACGTATCTCCAGTACTTGCGCTGCCGTCCGCCATTATAGCAACTTTTCAGACACGATCGGAGATTTTCCGAACTCTTGAGTTTTGATCGGCATATATTCGGTAACTTTCGTGCTCATGACTCCCAGAACACCGTGCGTACCTTTCGGACCCAAAATGGCTTCCGCTACCGGCAGAGTTTTTCAAACTGTGAAAAAACATATCCCAAGTATAAGATTCCCAAACAGAACAAAACAGAAAATGGAACGTAAGTAAATGAGAGTTATATCTATCGTTAATAACAAGAGATATCAACCTAGATGCTTTCCTTCTGTTTTGCACACCACAAGCCGGTTCATCACACAGACCACCGGAGATTTCGTCAGTTTTATCTGCGATCACTAGAAAAGCATCACCAACAGAATCAGTGACTCGACTGACAAGTTCTAATTCTTCAGCCTCCGATGACTCGTTCGATTATCAAAGTTTACCGATAAGATACAGAAGAAGACTTCTAACCCAAGAAGAAATTGATTACATTGAGGTAAGCCATCATCTATCAAGCTGAAACTTTTACGATGTGATATTGATAAATTTCTACTTTAATATTAAAATGTTCATTCTTAAATATTAAAATTTTCGATCTTAAAATCCTGGCAGATAAGAAAGAAGGTGCTACTTCACAAAATTGCCAGTACCTTCGACACTTAGGACAATGACTTTATTTTCCATTAATGTACCGCATCAAAATGAGACAGCGACTGGATAATATTGACCAGTTCTTGGTTAAAAAATATAACAATGGCCAAAAGAAATGATGGCCTTTGAGACTTCGCCTTTAAGGATAGTATGAGATTACGAAGAACTGTTTTCTCATTTTGTCTATGAACCTAAGAGATAATTTCTATATGTACAGAGCAATTGTAACAACTCTTCCTGAAGTCTCCCACATACAGATTAAATCTCCAGCACAGTTTGCCAAATCTCACAAATAAATAAGTTTGCTATTCTTTTTCTGTAGAAGAAGGTTAACCAAGTGTATTAAATCTCCATTAAGCCTTAAATGAAATTAATAAGGCTTTTCTTTCAGGGATATCTGTATTTTGTACTTGCATTTCTGTTTGGTTTTTTGGTAGTTGTGAAAGTGAAAGTGAAATTAATGGGGCTTTTGTCTCAAGGATATCTGTATTTTGTACTTGCATTAAATTTCTGTTTGATTTTTTGGCAGTTGTGAAAGTGAAAGTGAAATTAATGAGGCTTTTGTCTCAAGGATATCTGTATTTTGTACTTGCATTTCTTTTTAATTTTTTGGCTGTTTGTAAGGTTTTTGGATGGTGTACATCCAATTAAACAACTTTGAAATTGTTGGGTGGATACTGAAACAAAGCATTTATTTCATAGATTCAAGCAGTGGGAGGGGAGGGAGGGGGGAATGAAGCTGTGAAAAGAATTCGTAGAGAATTTGAAAGTCAAAGAGTGTGCAATGTCTTTCCATACCCTTCGTAATTGTTGCTTACAGTCATGAGCTGTCACAGAGAGAAACAAACTAGCTACATCACTTACTAGTTGACCTTTTGAATCCCAAGATCTGATTGTTGATTCTCCCCTCCAGGTGCTATTTATTTTCTTGTAGATAAGTTACAGGAATTTGATGTTAGATCAAGATAACAACTTGTACTTGATAAGTTTGAGGATTCTCATGACCTGTTTGCTGAGTAATGTCTGGATATTATAGGGAGAATTTAAATGTTGTACACTTCTGGGTTAAGCTGTTTTGATGATAAGCTTGTAGATGAATGTAGGGTTCATAATGATATTCTTCAGCAAAGACTGTTAACTTGAACCTTGCTGGGTGGGGTGGGAAATTTGAACAAAACACTTTCAAGCCTTTCTAGTAGAATAAACATGTTCAATCTTTTGAAATGGAGGTGTTTAAATGTAACAAGTACACTTGCATAACCAGATGGCTCAAAAGAAAGGTGTACAAGAAAGTCACAACTGCTAATCTTACTTAAAAAAGAACTGAGGTTGGTGGTGGGGGAGTTGAACACAATTTTGGCCCGANGAGGGGTTGTCAAAACTTTGAATTGATCAACGCATCTGGCAACCTCATTCCCAGGGTCTCTCATCTTCCCGCCCCCTAGAGTGAGTGAGGAGAGACACATCTGGATGGGAATGAATTGAGTCATGGGCTGTTATGCCTGATTTTCAAATTATTTCTTTCATTCAAATGTAGAGAGGTGGTCCTGAATGAAACCTCCCAGCTGGCTGGAAGTATTTTACACTGTTTATTAAGTATTTAATGATACAAGACTGTTGGAATCATTTTCAAGGGACGAGGATGTGTCGAATGTGGAAGTACCATTCACTTCCTGGTCATTTATTTTCAGACCAGTGATTTGTGCCACACAAAAAGATTCACTTGGTAGATAGGGACACACTCATTTAAAGGTGGTGTTGACCAGAACCAAGCAATTCCCATTATGGAGAGCTTTTTACAAATGTATTACAAATTTAAGAGTGATTAAATTTAACTTTTAATAAAATGGTGTTGGTGTACATCTATTGATCAAATTTTGGAATATTCAACAAAATTCACTTTTTCTCGGTAGAATTATTACTGAATTATCAAGGTACAAGTTTATCCACATCTTGGATGTATACAGTAAATAGTTTTGAATATTTGAATTATGCTTTCCCTGGTTTTAGATACAATTATTTTGTGGGAGTTTGAGAGCAAAACAAAGATAAAAAAGGAAATCAATGATAAATTCAGATGCATCTTTTCAAGTTTTCATAATAAAGGGTTTAAAATGTTTTAGGCTAGAGGTTTAAAGAGAGTGTTTCGCCCGGGTTTGCAGGAATTCTCACAAAGGTAAACTCTTCTTATTTCGTATGTCTGATTAAACCCGATGATCTGAACCATGCCATCCAGTGAAGCTTTAAAAATTTGTATAACAAATTGATGAAACAGATGAATACTAGTGGCATCTGAAAGTGAATAAAATTGGTCAAACCTTCCGTCTCTGGTTTCATTGAGAGTCACCAAGAATTGTGAGGAAAAATCAAACAGTCAGGTAAATGGCAGACAAGAAAATGAATTGTCTTTGCTAGATTTGTTCATATGTGATCTTGATGAAAGGAAAGGAAACATACTGAAGGGTCCATGTATTCTAGAGGTCACTGATATTCAAATGAAGTTGAGAACTCTGCTTCTAAAAGTTCAAAAAATGAGGCCTTAAATCTCATCCATTGATCAATTGAGTTCCTGGAAAGTGAAATTGTATAATTTCCCACTTAAAATTGAGTTTGAGGCTATTTTTTATTGTCCCTTAGAGGAGAGAGAGGAATCCTTAAATTGTGGAGGCAGCATTGGAGACTTGAACAGGAGAAAACTGTTTTCTGCGGCAAACCATGATATTCAGTCTTTGTTCTAGAAAATTGCTCCAAAAGTCAGTTTAATTCAATTTGTGACTGCCTTCTAATGGCAGTCACAGAGGGAGAATTATCATTTTTTTTAACAAGAGAATTTCTTCTTAAGAAGGTTTGAAATTTCTGTTCCCATGCAAAGAAATATTTGTGGAAAAATAAGTGAGATAAAGAGAGAGAGAGTAAAGAAAAGTAATTCACCAATTTGTTTTATCGTTTTTGAACATTGTAGGATGTACTTTCTGGATATTGTTTGAAGTAACAGTGACCCTGGAAAACTGGATTAGAAGCATAGGGCTGAGGTTTTCTGTAGTCTTATTTCCTAATGAAAAGTCAGGGTTTGTTTATAACAAGGCCTCTACTTCATTCTCTTGACGTTGTTTTGCTGCCTCAATCATCATCATGTCTGTGCCCATTAACTTTCAGTTTCTATGCATTCAAAGTTTGCTTAGCAGGATCTGAAGATCTTTTCTAAAGATATCTGTAAGAAACTCCACAAAATTTGCTATCTCCTGGTCACCAGGCTTAAATTCCTTTGTCCAGATATTGTAACTGGGTAAATTATTTCCAAGGCTGTTCATTCTTGTCTTAGCTATTTCTTCGAAAAAGTCTAGTGCTCTGGTAAGGTCCTCATCGTCTGACGAATGACTTATGGGGTCTAACAGTATCAAGTTCTCCATTGGAGCAACTTTGTCAACTAAGGCTTGAATGTAAATGCGACAGAAAAAGATTTGGTCCCGTGCAAATCGATACCAATGCGTATTACGAACCCTTGGTTCACTTGTTCGTCTTGTTTTGTTTCTATCTAGGGGCTCTTTTCCAGTTGCTTTTATCACCACTTGTTCCAAGTCTTGTTTGAAATTTACATTAAGTGTCTGATTTGACAACTTTGTAAAGGTTATTTTATGAGAGACAAGTCTTGACGCGTCTGTAATACTTTGGAGGCAGTCATTGAAGTTGTACTCAATGTCATTTGTTTTTGATGTCATCCAGTGATGCAGGATGGTTATTGAGTTTATGGCATCAGCCTGCTCCCTCGACATCTCCTTTTTCTCACCTCCAGGTAAAACATTGTAGTCTGCATAAAAGAAGCTTCGTATACTCCCACCCTTTACAGAGAGAAGTAGGCGATCAAGTATTTGGAAAACATGGTCACTCATACAGCTTCCTAACCAATATTTCTCATCTGGGTATTGACTCCATTCATGTAACACTAAAGTTTTAAGTGCATACGAAGAGAACCAACTGTTGCATTCTGTTTTAACATCATCATTTTTCTCAGTTCTTGACAAGTTAGTGTGAACATCCAGTTTTTCCGAGAAGAATGGACCAAGATTAACTATGGTTGAATAGTCACGCAATACCTTGAGTACCCTTAAGCATACAGTTGGTCTTCCTTCAGGTCCAAAATGTTGGAAAAGCGCCTGTTCAAGGCACGATTGGGAACAACGAAGACGGAAATAACACTCACAATAATACGAATCACCCATTTGATTTTTTAACAAATTTGAGGGAGGGCACTTATACTCCTTGTAGTCACTAACAGCAAAGAAATAGGGCACAGAATCAGAAATAGTCTTCTGCATCACATCGGCAGGAATCCCCGCGCAATGCTTTAAGTCCATGGTTGAAGAAGGAAAGTTAATCTTCACTGCTAAGGACAAATCTACGCCAATCTTTAACCCATGATAGCGTTCTCCACCGATCCATTCGAGCTTCAAACTGTACGCGGGTCCGTGCCTGGTTGAGTTTTCAATTACACGCAATCCATATCCCTCATAGTCATTCCCCTTTTCGTAAAGTATTTCTGAAAACGGTGCTTTGACGTGCGTTTTCCAATCGAAATCAGAGATCTCCTTTGGAATCCACTTGTAAGTTGATAGATTTTGTATTTTTTTGAAACTCGACTTGCTGGGAATCACAATCACGGAGGCATCAGGTAATTCTTCATACTGAATATCTGTCGGCTCAGAGAAATAATCGAGCTGAACAAGATAATCAAACTCATCAGGTTTTTCGACTTTTGTGTCTTCATAGAAACTGCCACAATTGATAAGAGTTGTCTTGAAGAAGGGATTCTCTTGTTCTAATTCCAGAAGAAGATCTTTTAGAAGGTTCTCAACTCCCATTTGAATGTCGATCACTTCTTGGCAGCGAGGTATCTTTGCGATGTTTCTGTCTAAGTCTTGTAAGAACAGGTCCAGCGGAGTGAGTGAAGAATTCGCCTTATCTTTATCAATGGGACGGGACCCTTCTATCGGGACTGAATCATCTTCATCCCCTTCGCTTTTAGATTGGGTTAGCTCGTCAAGATTCATGTTTAAATTTCCGCAAACCCGCTATCGACCAAGCACGTTCACAGTATTTATGCCACAATGCACCCAAACACTGAGGGACAGGCTAGTACCGAGATCTCCCACGATAAGGGGGACTATAGAATTCAAGTCAAGCTTGATGCGACGGGAGCGTGAACAAAGAGCAAACTTCAAGAAATAGATGGCCACCGAAAGTGAATTGCCACAATGAAATGTTAATCACAAGCTGTTAACTACTCGGTTCTGTAAAAACAAAATTCTTTATTCGCGCACACACTAATCCCAGTAATAAAAATGTAGAGCCAAAATTCACGTGTTTTAGACCTGCTAGCATTTTGCATATATTACGGTCACACTACAATGTACACTAATTAGCAACGATTCTATTTTGATAAAACGTAAATGGCGGTGTGAATTGCTGATTATGCAACATCTCCCCTCTAATAAAAAAAAACTTAGGCCTTAACTGAAAACATTGAAACTAATTAAATTGTCTCTATAAGTCTTTTAGGTCTTGTAATCACACGTCTTGGTCGTTCACTGCTACTATTATCGCCACGCTTCATACTATCGGCAGGAACGGGAGTAATCTCTTGTGCTGGACGAATGAAGCGACGATTCCTCACTAACTGGGCTCCCTTAGTAGTTTCGACACTGTACGATCTCGGTTGAGACGCTACTGGCGTTTTGGTAACGGTTGCTGGAGTCCACTGGTTATATTGGGGGTGAACCTGTACGTACACTCTCTGATTTTGTGGCAATGAAGGTAGATCCCTTGCAGTTTTGTTGTAGTGCTCGCACACTTTGTTCTTGTCTTTCACCATTTGCTCTCGGACAACCTGGTAATGAGGATTCTGGATAGGAGATTTGGTTGGAAGTAATGCTCTGTATTTTCGTCCATTCAATAGCTCTGAACGTGACGGTATGCTGGTAGAAAGGGGTGTGGCTCTATAGACTAACATAGCTAAGTTTGGATCGTCCTGCGGCTGCACATTTTCTCATGCACTGCTTGACCGTCTGCACCATACATTCGATAAAACCATTACTCTGCGGGTAACGAGGGCTAGACGTGATGTGGTAATAGCGATTTTGGTTTGCAAAGGCTGCAAATTCCTTCGACGAGAACGGGGGACCGTTGTCTGTCATAACGGTTTGAGGTACTCCATATTCGCTGAACACTTGCTTCAAAATCTCGGTGGTAGTGTTCGCATTGGTGTTGCGTACCTTCCGAATCACGGGAAACCTACTGTAGTAGTCTGCTATCAGGAGGAAGGTAGTAGACTGAAACTCGAAGAAATCAATTCCTAACTTCTCCCAAGGTCCTTGAGGAACTTCATGGGGCAACATTGTCTCGCGTTGTTAGCTCCTCGAGAACGTCTGGCACACTTCACAACCCTGTGCTGCCTGTAGTAAATCTGAGGTTATTCCTGGCCAGAATACTGCTTCTCGGGCTCTTAGTTGCATCTTCTCAAAACCAAAATGACCCTCGTGGATGGTTTGGAGGACTCTACTACGCAATTTCTCAGGAACTATGGGTCGATGGCCTTTGAACAATAGACCATTCTCTGCGCTGATCTCTTCTCTATAGCTCCAGTGGTCTACAAGAAGTGGGTGGCAATCTTTCTTTAATTCAGGCCATCCATTTGCTACCACTTACATCAGTAAGCCAGAAATAGTGCCTTCTGCAGTTGCGTGTCTGAAATCTCCAACTCTCGTAGAATCGGCGGGGATTTCCTCTGTGAGCATGTGTTC